ATAATACTAGAAAAACGTTTTTTTATGCTTTCTTAGTAAATTTCGATGTATATTTATTTCCAAGTACAAAGAAAAGCTCGCAAGGAATGCCAGCTTACCATAACTCCTTCGTTGCTCATTCTGAAAGTAGACTTTCGATATGATATTAAACATTATTCTAGCTTATATTACAAAAAAGCACATTTTTCAGTCAATCAGAATCAAGAAATTTGTTTTGTACATTATGGATACGAGTATGGAACAGTAGTTTCACAACGACTTCCACTAAAGATTCAAGTTTCAAAATTATAAAGACTAATTTTGCACCGCAAGGTATCATGGATATATGYTGCATCAAATGGTAATCAACTTTCCCATGATATCTTGCGGTCCAAAGCTAAACTTTTTCAATAACAATGTTTAYCGAAAAAGTTGTATTGGATATAATTCGTATATCTATTGGTCAAGAGTCAAGTGATAGAGTTACGAGGAGAGTTGGTGCATTTTTCAGACAATACATTCCAGTCGTATTAAAAAACATCGAAAAAACTTGTGAAAAAAGCGTCACGTCTCGACTTCTCGACTTCATAGATTTTGTCTTTTTCATATCCAGAAAACTAAGAATATAACGGGAATTCACGACCGAGTACTGATCACCGTTCTCTTGGACTTTTTTTTGGAAGACAGGTATGTTTGTGCATAGAATAGAGGAATCTGTGAAACAAGTGCCAACTCCTTACAGTATTAAGTTATACAGTCAACTCTCGCTATTACGGACACCCTCGAGACCGTAACTTAGTGACCGCAGTAGTGAGGGTCCGTAGTAACGAGAGTTACTTTCAGTCATTTCTTGGTATTTTTCGCCTGGGATTCAGTAATTTACTGTCCGCAATATCGAGGTGTCCGTTGTAGCGKGGTGTCCGTAAGTCGAGAGTTGACTTTATGTTGTCATAGAAAMAGTTTGAACCATGAATTAGAAACACATAAATCTAGAGACGTTGTCACTGCTGTTTTAGAAKGAAGTAAAACAACCCGGCCTAAAGTATGATTGAGTAAATCAAAGCTTCATTCATACTAGCATAGTGAAGTAAAAAAAAACCGTGAAATAGTTATTACACTAATACACCTTAGCATGCTCTAATTGTATTGTTTTCTTTTGTATCTATTTGACTATCGTACGTGAACAGTCAAGATTTTGTTTCACGGATTTAACGACGGAACGTTAAAGTGTTAGATTAGAGCGTTGTGCACAAGCTTTTTCTCCTGCTTTCAGTAAACAGTTAAGYAGAGGCTATAGATAATTCTCACGATCGCCTGTCATTACAAATCTTTCATCACTATACCATACGCTTGTAGACACAATGACATAGGCTAGGTCTTAATGTAACAGTGTTGTTCACGAGTATATATGTTCAATACTCCAATTTCGAGTTCTGGTTTGCTCTGTGTTACCCTCAAAACCAAGTAACATATTCTTTTGTTTTATTGAAAGACCGAGAAAACGCATGGAATTTGAAAAGAAAGGCAATACACTTTTCACAATTAAGAATATTGTGCGCACAAATGAGACTAACAGAGCATCGGAGAATTCGAAACTGAATTATTAGGTAGATTTGTCATTCATTTTGTGATTTGTTGACTGAAGACATTTTGGTCTAACTAGAACGTTAAGACGATCTTGAATCGATTCATATTCCAGGCCTATCATCATCATCACCATCATTATTTCTCGGTGAGTTTCCAATACACTTCCTAAAGCATCTCACATCCAAAACTGTCAAAACGCATAGATCAATGAAGAGTAGTTTATACAGTTATCTATAATAATAATAATAATTATTTGACTTAATTTCTACACCAGTGTCGTCACTCTTAGGGGGGGACCCTCCCTCAGAAAATATGCATCCCAAATCGTCGTTATACAAATATACAAGAAGGTAGGTACATTAAGCTGGGTTAAGATGGGGGTGGGGTGTCCCACTTCACAACAAACTTAAAGCACTGTACTAGAGTATTGGGAACCCTCTGTTTGGTGGTAGTACAAGGTTTGAAACCCTCTCCTTTGCCCAGTAACCAGTTATTGCAGGAGGTGTCCATTTCACTGGTGACGTTGGCTTCCACCCACTCATTCAACCACTTCTGGAATTTGGTGTGCAATCTACGCACCACGCCAGGATGGCACTTGAAATGAAAGGAATTAATATTAGAATTAAGCCAACCTTCTTGGGGTCTCTGTGGACAAGTGTGAAGAAGGCTGCTACGGAAGCATGAGAATAACGTAACGAATAATCAAAGTTTCACAACAATAACCTAAAGGAATGCATCTTTGTTCATCACTTCTAATCTGCGTAGCGGCTCTAGGGGACGTGGAGGGGAGACGGAAGGGATAGAGGAGGAAGGGGGAAACCACCCCTCCCCTAGAGTCACTTCGCAGGCTTCATCATTCCTTGCGATATTCACCTGTTTAGCTTTTGTCAGTGCTCCACGGCGATACATAGATTCCCAGCTTCCAGCAACRAATCTCATTTTGTACGAATTCAAACTCAATGTACACTGCATGGAGTTCTCCACTTCCATGTCTTCTATTTCTTCYCCATCTTCGTCTTCTTTGTCACTGAAATTGACATCCATTGAAAATTTAAAATAAAATTGCTGGTTTTCAATCCATATCAAAAGTCAAAAGACCAGCAGCCATCTTGGTTGTATGAGAAACATGGCTGCCGTGACGTCACCAACCACAGTAAGACCACCAAGACGGCCACCATGACGTACCCAACCCGACAACTGTGACGTCACCAACACGTCTATGATGACGTCACGGATTTCGTGTATGATTACAGATAATTGAGCAAATAAGACTGAATTTCCCTGCGCCTTATTTTCAAAGATGTATAAATGTGCATAGAGATTCAAGTTGTTACCTTTTGTTGACTTCACTCTCAGCTTCATCAGTTGAGGAACCATTGTCATTGGTTGATTCTTGAGCACTACGAAGAGGCTTATTCCGCCTTTGTTGTATAGTTCTAAACCAAACAAACCAACACATAAGCACAAATACATCCTACACAATTCTCATATGCTTTCCAAAATAAGATGATTATTACGAGTCACAGCGAATCATGCGCATTTCCTTGTAGTTCAACTATTGAATGTCCTGCTATGCATCAATGTGTATTGATCACTGTTCAATCGCGTCAGCTCCAAATTCACTCGGTTGATCAGTATTTTATATATTTTTTGTCTCTTTGATACTTTAGATCTGGCAGTTACAGCAATAATATAATATAATAATGACAAATAAATAAACACGATAAATTAAAATTCTTACCTGGGTAAAAATAAAGGTTTTTTCTGCAGGTGTTCTTTTACTTCTTGGGAGACTTCTTCACTTCCAACRTATTTTTGAACATAATCATTCCATTTCTAAACAAAACCCAACGATATTGTGGTCAAATAATATGTTCAAATTATACTTCAAAGCTAATATTGTAAAGGAAAGGATCGTTAGGTGTACGACGGCATCAGTAGTAAACATTCACCTCAACTTCTAGAGGGTCCTCTGAATTRGTATCACCGGTATCCAACAGCTCAAGACTGACTTTGCAAATATTCTGGTCCTTGTGCTAGAGGAAAAAAAGGCACAAAATATTTTTCAATACGCAAGGGTTACAAAATTCCAACACGTTTTTAACTTAAAAGTTACTTAAAAGAACCCCAATTTAAGGGAGGAATTTTCAAGAGGCCTTGAAAATGAGTTATCGTTGATTTTAAGGAGAATCACCAGTCGTGAACGTACATGAATTTCAAAAGAGGGACTCAACAAAAACCCATTTAGCGACCTCTTTTACACTGTGTTAGCTTAAAAGCCATGTAAGGTATTCTTTTATCCATTAACCGACAGTCGTGAAAATGCAAGAGATCCGTAAGTATGGAAGACATAGTTTGAAATCTCACAAGTTTTGTCTAAATTCACTTTTTTTCCTTTTTTTCCCTTAATATTTTACACTTTGAACACAATTGAGGCTAACACAKTGTTAGAGAGATGACAAAACTCAACTATTAACTACAGTAGTTCTTACAATGACAGCCTTGTAGCAGTTTTCATCTGTTAACAGTGATTCAGCTTTGCTTTGATACGCACTCTCTGCTGMTGCTCTCAAGTGTTGTGTAGCTGAGCTGCCACCAGTGGCGCCATTAGGCTGTTCTTGCTGGTAAAGCTCTGTTATTTGGATACCTGTYTCGTCTGTGACAATGGTGTGAAGCTAGAAAGAGAATAACATCCTTTATTAAATACAGCTATTTTAATGACAAAAAGAAAAAAAAAACTGATCATTGGAGATTGCCCATCCTTGGAAACTTGTGATTCTATCGAGTGCATGACATGCGGGATTAGGATAAGTGGAATTGAACAGGAGAGAAACATAATTAATTTTTTTAAAATAATTTAAAAGAAGCAAACATTAAACATACATGTACATGTACAAAAAGAAAACTGTCCAATAACATGGTAGCCTGAGTTTCATCTAGCGATTACTTGTAAWTAACGGGATGTACGCAGGCTTATCTTTGACAGTTCAATAAAATGAAATAAAACAAAGACAACGGCCCATACTTGCTCCATGCTCTTTGGAAGTCCTACTTACGTACCTGTCTGACAATGTTCTGTACAAGTTTATCCATGGTAAAGGCTATGTAGGCATAAACACCAAACATCTCCCTACAGGTGTCCTCAAATGTTGCAGAATCCATGTTACCTACAAAAAAATGCAACAATTCAGTCAAGAAAACATTGATAAGTAATTGATAACCGCAAGGTTTGTGCTACATTATCATTACAAACTTCCAGGACTTTCAAGTACTTTTTAAGCACAAAAATGCGATTTTCAAGGAGTATTTTGGAGATATTTTTTGATGTTTGCAGATGTTCCAAGTGGCGATTTTCAAAAATAGCCACATTTCAATCCAAAAACTAACAAGCAACATGTCAGATTCATAGAGTTTTCTAGGAGTTTTAGCGATTTTCCCCCATTTTAAAGGACTTTCAAGCGCTCTTGAAACGAGTTTTCTATTCCAGGACTTTTCAAGGACTTCAAGGACAATCAACTGTGTAAAATTCAACTAACCATCAAGTACATTCTTGACCATGTCCAGGAAGGCAGGRTAGTACTCTTCCAAGTCAATTTCGCTTGGTGCCTTTAAACGCAAAGCTATTGCTGTAGCTTCTTTTCTTTGCTGCTTGTCTGATGCTTCACCTTCTGCTATGGCAACAGACTGTAGGTACATCTTCTGCAGACGTTCACATAGCATCTATAAAACCAAGCAGTCACGGTTACCACCAATGATGCAATTACACAGGTAGCCCAGTTATCTGGGACATTTACATCATCAACAACAGCATGTTGGAGAGAAAGCAGCAAAATCACGATTATACACCCTTTTAATAAGTCCCGAGGTTTTGTGTTCTCCGCACTTGACGTCAAATTTATTCTTTTGAAATTTTTACAATACAAAAGGAATTCAAAAGAATAAATTTGACGTCAAGTGCGGAGAACACAAAACCTCGGGACTTATTAAAAGGGTGTATATTATTATCCTGAATTACGTAATACAGACATTCTCTTAGGCTAGCATAGTGTCTAGCGACCTCTTTTTGAGATACTAGCCACAAAAAGCAGATAAAGAAATAAARCAAAGGACAAAAAGATAATAGAATGTTAGTGCCTTTTTGAAAACACCAGCAATCAAAAAGACTGGAATGTGAATCTGGAATTGGTCCTATATACACACTACCTCTACAAAGAATGTTTTTGTTCCAAAAAGAACAAATCACAAGATTTGAAATTTTAATAAAAATACACATTTTATAAACTTACTTTACTTGCACAAATAGAATATGGAGGCTTACCTGATGCAATCGTAGGAAGACATACCAATTATTATTGATGAAGAACAGATTGTATGCATCATCCTAGAGAAATAGTGAGTGTTATTTTCATGTACATGTAGACATGGTATTAAGTATAGTTTACAACATGAGCGGCCATGTTGTATGGGAATTACCATACAACACAGACGCGAATGTTGTAAACGACTTATAAAACTCCAACACAAATTAACATGAATTACAGTGAGATAAATGACGAAAAATGACAAATAAGGTAACTGCTGAGTTTAGTTCGTATTAAGCATGCGCAATTTACTGCAACACAGAACATTTTGAATAATTATCCATCCCACATGGAAAGCAAGCCATCTGTTGCATAAGCGAGTTCTGTTATCCGTCTTTGATTGCTTCAAAACCTAGTGAAGGTCTATGATGCGACACTAAAACTGAGACCTTTGCTAGTGTTGGGTTGTCTCAATGGTGACGACCGTGTTGTAAATCTGATACAACCACTAGTGGTTGTATCAGATTTACAAGGTCAATCACCTGATTAAATGGTCAGCCCTTATTGGAGCAATAGCTTATGCATTATTAATAAGTTTTATAA